AAAGGTGTTTCTGGTAGCCAGCGCAAGCAGGAGGCAAAGTACGCAATGGTTGAAGTCAAGGAAGAGGTTATAAAGGAAGAGACAAGCGATGAAGGTGTCATCAACATACCACGGCTGAGAGTTGATGGAAGATATCTAGCGAACTACGAAGGACCGATCGACTTTGATTATGACTTTTATGAGATCAAAGATGAAATCAAATGTGAAGACAAAGTGACGGGCAAAGACAAAGAATCGACACCATGTGAACAATCGAATGACAGCGCCGCCAACGATTTTGACAACGAAGAGCTAATAGGTGACGCAATCGATTTTCAAACACTGCATCCAGTCGGCAACGTGAAAAAATGGAATGGAAGCTCCAACCGACGAAACAAACGAACGATTCCCAAGAATCCAGTGGTCAAAAAGCAAAACAAGCACAAATGTCATGTGTGCAATCATTTGGCAAGTTACAAGTCTCAACTCATAATACACTTGCGGACTCATACTGGGGAGAAGCCGTTCCAGTGTGATGTTTGTTCGAAGTCCTTTGCACGAAAAGATCATCTGAAAGGTCATAAGAAAACGCATGGCCAATTTCGTTGTTCAAAATGTAATCAAGGATTTGAACAAGAATCAGCCAAGATCGATCATGAAAGATTGTGTAATCCCATCAGATTTGAATGTGATATTTGCGGATATCAGACTGTGGTGAAATCCAGTTTGACAGTACATATGCGGGTCCACACCAGGGAAAAGCCGTTCGAGTGCTCAATTTGTTTCAAGTCGTTTGCAAGAAACACTGTTCTCCGAAGTCATTCAATGACTCACATCGATGAACTGCCGAATGTTTGTTCGAAATGTGGCCAAAGATTCGCCACTCCAAAAGATAAGCAAACGCATGAATTGCGTTGTCAACGTAAATCGATCAGATGCGCGATTTGCAGCAAACAATTCGTCCAACGAATGAAACTAAATCAGCATTTGTCATCAAAACACAGCGATCAGTTCCCATTCCAATGCTCCAGGTGCTTCGGAGGTTATACAACCGAAGATACAAAAGACGTTCATGAAGATAGATGTGTCTGGCGTCAGTATCAATGTCATCTGTGTGAAGAGCATTCTCGTTCCAAACAAACATTGAAGACACACATGCGAAGAGATCACACCGGAGAGCGGATTCAATGCAATGTATGTCAATCAAGCTTTACCAAGAAAAGTTCATGCCGATCGACACATGAAAACAGTTCATCGTTTGAAGAAGTGATAAATAAATTATGCATATTTGCATAAATCCATAAATTCACTAAAAAGTAGTTAAGATTGAAACTGATCTTTCATTCGACGTCTTTAAACAGACACATTAACTGAACCTACACTTTCAAACAATTGAAATACATTCCATTAATATTAATTCATTTTCTGAAATCGTTATGAAATAGTATCTACCATTTTTAAAAACCAACAAATAATGAATACCACCTTAGATTTAAGCTCCAATTTTTAATGAAACAAAACCAGAATAAATTGGAGTAAAGGAGAGGAGAGAGTTGACTTTCATTTCGGAGATTTTTTTACAGCATTTTTTGGTTGACGAATGAAATAAATGGCGTTTGGCAAATGTGTTGATACAAAATCAAATCAACTCTACACTTCGATTGAGTTTGTCAGTTTTTATGATAATGTTTCGGTTTCAAAGCGGTATTGAAATATTTGGTTTACCTTTATTCATGATTAATAGTCCATTGCCGTGGTCTTCAGAAGATATCACACTAATCCTGATATTTTCGATTACAAAGGAATGAATGAATGACTTCGAGTGGTTCAATGCAATTGCATTTAAATTATTTGAGTCGCCCATTTGTGCTGGAAGCACAAATGCACGATAAATTCAATCTCATTACCCTTAATTGAACCGCTGAAAATAAATCACAGACTCAATCGAAGTGTTTGTGATAGTGGTATTCAAATCCGTCATACGCATAAAAGGCACATTGAAATGCTAGTACGACTCTTTATACTTGCGAACTACGATTTGTTTCAGCCTTGAGTACGACAACAATATGACTCTCTTTTGCACGCGACGAATTCAATTTCTATTTTTTTCGATAAACTTATTCAACTTCCAATTTTGCAAACTTCGCGATAAAGCCTGAGATTCATTCTCAGCGGTTCGATTCGACTTCTCTTTGTTAAACTGACAGATATGTTAGCGAACCCAGTTGTTATTTGGCTCATAATTCACACTCACATGCACCGTGACTCACACATACGTCTAACTCTTGCGCACATATGCAGTGTAAATCAATATGATTCAATTCCATTCGATTTTTACAAAAAGAGTGTTGAACGAAATGAAATGGTTTCAATTACATTTGATGCATTTGTTGTGACCGAAATTCAAATATTATTTGTTGCGTTCGTGAGACATGCAAAATTTTCCATGTTGATTTAATTTCTTATAAACACAACGAATGAGTTTGTTGTTGTTTGTCCACCACTTTGTTTCTATTGCAGTAAAACCTCCCGATAAGAGACACTACCAAAAAGTGGCACATATCAAACTTCTTTTTCATCAAATTTCCCTCCAAAATGCAAAACAAGTCGGAACCATGCGATTCCACTCTTGCAATGCTCAAGTGTACATCTCTATAACAACTTTCGATATGTACGATTCCGATGCCGTATGATGAAATCTCTGACTTTTTAAAAATGGTATTTGAATTCTATTTCGTTATCAATGACTCAACAAATATGTGTTGATTTGACGTTAGTGAGAATGATAACAAATATTGGCTGTGCAATTTGCAATATCTCTTTACTTCCATGTCTATTGCTCATTGAACATCGCTCAGTCATCACGGGTTTTTTATTCGATTGACAGAATGATCATGATTTCAGACGAAATGTGTTCAACAATATTTGGATTTGTAAGATGAACATTTCGCATGAATCTAACCGACATTTTTGAATTGAACTCAACGAATTTGCTCAAAAGAGAGCTACTGATTGACATGAAGTGTATACATTCGGCGACGTTGTCAACTGAACGAAATGTCACCAACACTAATACCAAGCGTTTGCGACGCAGTATCAATGCTGTTGGATATGCTGAGCTAGCCATTGTTCAATGAGTCACACAGTGAAGCAGACATCTTGAAAAATAATACGCAAAAAACCAACAAACATTTTCAGCAGAAAAAAAGCAAAACGTAAGTGTTAGCATTTTTCGCAATTTATTTCAATGTTCGGCCTGAAACTTTTGTTGCGAAAATTATGATTCGATTGGATATTCATGGAAATTGAAGACAATTAATTCGAAATACAAGTCTATGTAGGCATTTTCATGGTGTGCATTTTTTCTTGGCAAGACACGCGACAAACACGTGGTTCGCGTTGTGTCGATTTATTGGCTATTTTTTTTATTTTATATATTTCCCCTGATTCCAACAGAAAATGAAGCCATTCAAAGGTGTGTCTAGTAGACAACGTAAGCGCAAGTCGAAATCCACAAAGGTCGAAGTTAAGCAAGAGCCTATTAAGGAAGAGCCCAACGATGGTGACGATGTCATGAACATACCACAGCCGAGAGTTGAGGGAAGATACCGTGCAAATTACGAAGGACCGGTCGATTTTGGGTATGACTTTGATGAGATCAAAGATGAAATGAAATGTGAAGAAGAAGAGAAGGGCAAAGAAAAAGACTCGGCACCATGTGAACGAGCGAATGACAGCGGCGCCAACAATGATGACAACGAACAGCCTATGGGTGATGCAATCGATGTGCAACCACCGCATCCAGTCGGCAGCGTAAAGAAATGGAATGGAAGCTTCAAAGGACGAAAAAAACGAACGATTCCCAGGAATCAAGCGGCCAAAAAGCAGAAGAAGCACAAATGCCATGTGTGCAATTATATGGCAAGTAATAAGTTTAGCCTCAAAATACACTTGCGAATTCACACTGGAGAAAAGCCGTTTCAGTGTGATCTTTGTTTGAAGTCTTTTGCACGAAAAAATGATCTGAACAGTCATAAGAAGATGCATGGTCAATTTCGATGTTCAAAATGCAATCAAGGATTTGAACAAGAATCATTCAAGATCGATCATGAACGATCGTGTAGTCCACGTCGATTGGAATGCGATATTTGCGGATATAGCGGTATACAAAAATCAAATTTAAGAACGCATATGCAGATCCACACCGGGGCAAGGCCGTTCAAATGCTCAATTTGTTGCAAGTCGTTTACAACCAACGCTCATCTCCGGAATCATTAAATGGTGCACATCGATGAACTGCCGAATGCTTGTTCGAAATGTGGTCGAAGATTCGCCACTCCAGAAGATAAGCAAACGCATGAATTGCGTTGTCAACGTAAATCGATCAGATGCGCAATTTGCAGCAAACAATTCGTCCGACATTATCAATTAAGTCAGCATTCATCATCAAAACACAGCGATCGGTTCCCATTCCAATGCTCCAAGTGCTTCGGAGGGTATGCAACCGAAGAAGCAAAAGTTGCTCATGAAGATAGCTGTTGCTGGCGTCAGTATAAATGCCATTTGTCCAAAAAACATCGTCAACACAAACAACATTTGAATATTCACATGCGAAGAGATCACACCGGAGAGCGGATTCAATGCAGAGTGTGTACAGCAAGCTTCACCCACAAGGGCAATATCAAAAATCACACGAAAACAATTCACCGTTTAAAGAAGAAATAAGTCACGCATCCCATAGTTTCAATGAACGTAGTTAAAGTTGAAATCCATTCCTTTAGCAGCATTAATAATTTCAGACAGACTTTCATTTTAAGATATTTTTGATATTTTCTACCGTAAAAACACATTAATACCACTTTGTATGTGGATTCCGTTTTTGATTGAAATAGAACCGAAATAAAAAACTTCACCTAAAATTCGACTCATTTCTTCCCAATGGGAATAATCGTGTTAGATGTATGCAACATCCCTTTAATAGACACGTACACTACCGTGCAAAAGTATGGAACCACTAACTATTTTTCATACAAATTGACCATTTTTGGTGGACTCATTAACATATT